CCATGAAAACTTATTTCCAGAGTTTTATCTGAAATCTGTGTTTCTTTTCCACTTACTTTCAATTTTTTCAGTTATATGGATTACCCTAATAGTGAAACTCAGGTCCTGGTGTGATGCTGGAGGATAAGCACTGTACTGCTAACCATAGGTCAGCATTTCAAACCCACCAAACTCTCCTTGGAAACACTACAGGGTCAGAAGCAACTACTGAGTCAGAAGCAACTTGAAAGAACTTAATGGCGAGACAATATGGTGGTATAATGGTAAACTGAAATGCTTCATAGTTGGGAATAATTTGCACAAAGTTATTTTTTTTGAAGGCATCAAGGCTAAAAAAAGTCAGCCCATCAGGGAAAATACCCTAAGACTGAAACTCAAAGGGAACCCACAAGCAGTCCAGAATGCACACTGGTGACCACATGGGTCTACTTGTGAATCTAAAGTGGGGGGAAATGCAGCAACGAAATTATGGGCCGAGTTTGGCCACGCTCCATTGATAGCCACTGACCTTGAAATGAAAGAGAAGGTCTGGTCTGAAATTTAGGGAGATGTGTGAACTCCCAGGCCATGGGAACTAACCTAGCCACTGAGGGGCTACAGCTGGGAATGAAGCAGCCAACTGAAGTGTGGTGAGGCATGAGCGAACACCCAAACTTGCAGCTAGTACCCTTTGACCCAGTTTGGATTGCTAGCTGACCAGAAAGTGATCAGATGAAGCAATGCTTCATACTGTAAGCAAGGGTTAACTGCTACAATTTGATGAACTAGACTTTTTGCTCATGGATGCAGTTACTCAAAATTCCAACTAAAATGGAAGGATTCAAGGAACAAGTTTATTTCATCAGTGCACAAAGTTGTAGGGAAGGGCAATTTAGGCATTGGCTATCAAAAATGGGGGGGAGGGGAGACTCTTTAAAGTGTTCAAGTACAAAGATGTCAGTTTGAGGACCAAGGTGTACCTGACCCAAGCCATGGTACTTTCAATAACCTCATAGGCATGCGAAAGTTGGACAGTAAGTAAGTTTAGACAGTAGTTGATGCATTTGAGTTACAGTGCTGGGAGACTGCCAAAAGTGCAGGATGTGTGTTGGAAGTATAGCCAGAGTGCTCCTTGGAAGCCAGGATGGCCAGGCTACATCTCCCATACTTTGGATATACTGTCAGCAGAGACCAGTCCCTAGAGAAGTTTATCATTTTGGGTAAAGTTAAGAGTTAAGAGCAAAAAAGGAAGACCCCCAATGACATGGAATGGGGCAGCAGCAGCAATAATGGGCTCAGGTGCAGCAACGATTATGAGGCTGGCCCAGGATAGGAGGCACAGGGTTGCTATGAGTCAGTACGATTTGACAGCACTTAACACTATCACTAAAAAGCTCTTGTAGCATAGTGGTTACGAGTTGGGCTGCTTAACCCAGATGAGGCTTTCTGCTTCCATATTTACAGCCTTGGAAACCCTATACAGGGTCACAGAGTCCGAACCAACTCCACAGCACATAACCAACACTATCGTCATCCCTAAGGCTCTTGAGTCAAGACAATGAAATAAAAAAAAAAGTCAGAACCCTGACATTCATATGTTACAGTAAGTCTCACTGGCTTCAACTGTAAATTTGATACTTCTCTATACAAAAAATTCATATTTATGTAATTTTAAGACAAGATCTCAGATACTTGTCTAAGCCAAATAAAATATAAAAATGAATTCCATTTCCTTACAAAAGGATTCTATTTATAGCTGTTTAACAGTAAATTTGTAAAGGAAAACTGTAAACCCTTATAAAAGGATCCAACAAGTGTCACTAATAAAAGAACACACTTACATAGAAAGTGTGTGCGTAACATTAGTAATAATTCTGGCTACCAATGGTTTTAACTTTTTACACATACATGAGTTCTTTCTCTAGTAAGATTTTAATTAGAGGAATAATTTGCCATAGCAATGAACCAAACCGTGATAATTTGTCTTATTTAGTACACAAATTTCTATGAAAATGCTTTAAGGGCATGGCCCATTTTCTATTTGAAATACATTAAAAATAAAAGGACATGGTAAAAAACGATACCAGGACTTACTCAATGTGAACATACTAGTTTAAAAAGAACCTTTTAAAAATTATAAACTGGCTACTGTATTTTTTAAAAGATAGAGAAGCAATGTTATGGAGGAACAAGGAGGGTTAATTATACATCTCACCAACTGAAAAAAATAAATAAAAATTCCATTTCCCCTGGGAAAACAAAAGTAACACTAAACAGAAATTTGAATAATTTTATGAAACATTTTCAAACCCCAAGCACCAAATATAAAAATCACACCACACCTTCTAAGATGTATTCTAAAATCCAGAAATCGACCATAAGAAACAGTTTAGGACATAGGAAGAGTCTCCAAATTATGTAAATAAACAACAGCTATTACCACATATGACACTTTATTGGCATTTGACAAATTTACAAGGGTCCCTGTTGCATTATACATCACACTGAATAAGAGCTGTTTAGCCATCCACATTCATTCTTACTGGGTAAATTTTCTCAAATTATAATCTCCAACACTGATAATCTGTGACAAAAGGAATCTGAGTAATTCCTTAAAGTAGACTGCAACTGGAAAAGCCTATTTTTCCTTTTTTTTTATCCCTAGGATGTTGGAACATATATACATACACCTAAGAACTGAGTCATAACCTTCTAAACAAAGCTTTCATAATCCTTTCTGGATATATCCATTGGTTTATTTTTATTTCCCTTCTCCAGGAAAATGGTAATCTATCAGTGCAGGTATTTTTAAAAAAACTTTTTTTTAGTTATTTCCTGGCACTTGTAAACAGATAATAGCATTAGCTAGAGGAACCATTCAGATTAATATGTCATAAAGTGTGGAATTACATTAGGAGATTTAAAAAAGACACAGACTACACTTTGAATCCTTGTACAGTTCTCACAATCATTCTGTCCTAATATATATTCTGGTAAGATACTCTTTCCTCAGTTCTAAATGTTTGAGAGAATAAAAGTAACCAAATCACGTTAAAGTTAAACAATGCTTTTGCATTTAAAACCTGCCTCACAGAACTGAGTCTTATTCCCACTTCCTATTAAATAATTTCTCAGCAAATCCAGTTTTTCCTACTGCCTTAAGTAGACAAGCAAAGCAGCAAATATACAGTCATGCAGAGAGAGTCAATGTCTAACCAAATAGTAATTGTAAAAATAAAAAGTTAAAATTTTATTTGCATAAAATAAAATGCAGGTCAAGAAACCTTTCTTGTGTTGTAAATGCAACACATAATTTCTTTGAAGATTATTTCCACTACTTTCACAATATCAGAATAGATTCAGAACAACAGAGTTAATAGGGGAAATCATGCCACACGAAGGATATTAGGCTCAAAAACATGACATACCGGGTTTGTGGGTACCCATCCACCAGTAACTTAGCATCAAGGTGCTAAAAGCACTGCAAATTATCAAACCAAGGATGAAGGAGTCAGAAATTTAAGATCTTTAAATGTTTACGTTAACAAAATAAGCACTGCCTGTTTAAGCAAACAACTAATTCAGTTGCTGGAATAACAAGTAAAATTTGACTTGTCTTTTATGTACATATGCTTGTAAATCAGACAAACATTAAAATTTACTATTTCAGACTTTCATTCCTTTAAAAAGTCATCAACATAAATATAAAACTTAATTCACATTTGAAAGATTATCCACCTGAAGACTAAAACTCCTGGGAACAAAAAGAAAAAGCCATTTGACAAACTGCAACTGAAATAGAGGAAAAGGTAAGAAACAAGATAGGGCAATGTTGCAACAAGCTTCTTGCTAAATTTCTTTATTAATGACATTTATAAAACAAGTTACTTAAAATATCAATGAACAGTAAGTTTTATCTCAGTAACTTTTCTTCCGGTTAGGCTGCACACTAATGTTTGAGTTATCTGAAAACCCAAATAGGTAAGATATGAAATCAGGTCAATCTATTCTGCATGATAGTCCTCCTCCAAAGCAACAAGTTAACCAGTTTTCTTCTTTTTGTGCGGGGGAGGGGTGTGGAGTTTGAAGGAATGACATTTTCATTCACAATTATTATTGGAAAACCAGTTTCCTCTTTCAAATAATAGCGGATACCTAAAACCATGACCCAAACTTCAAAATAGAATGAAAAGAGAATACTGAGTTTTGAACCCGAATGGGAAAAAAAGTTTCCTAAGAATGTTTATATATATGTGTCACTGCTTGGTTTCAGTTCATTTTAAAAAAAGAAAAAAATTCTCTCAAACTTTTCAATCTAACTTTTAATAGCTTGTATTGCTTAGTTATTGGCAAAGCTTTTGTTTTTTCCTTCTTAAATACTTGCTCAAGTGTTGAACTAAGCTTATGTCATCAATTAAACAACTTGTTCCTGTGGTACACCCTATGATGTGATGTGTTAAAATTAAGAAAAATATTAAATAGATGTATACAGATAAAATAATTAGTGTGGTCTCTATAAGCAATTTCTGTTCAGAGATTTATTTGTATGTAGAGTTAAAGTTTACTTCAGAAGAAAACATAAACAAACAGGGATGGGAAGAGAATCAGAACTTTTACAGAGCTGTACTTGACCTTATAGACAAAGCAGAATTACAATGCATGTAACAAAAACAGCAAAAAGTTGTTTTTTTTTTAAGTTGATAGTTACAAATAATGGTACGTAACAATTTTCTATTTTATATCAATACAATTTTCAACATACAGTCCACTATTTTTCAAGTTATTTTAAGACTTAAAACAAAATATCTATTGACTACTTGCAAACATTAAAATTTAAGTGAAATGCTTACATTCTTACTTAAAAACAAAAATCAGGTTAAAAAAAAAAAAAAAGGTTGGTGCAAGTTCTGTTCTCTGCTTTATTTTTACTTCCAATTCACTCACTATTCCTAAAAAAAAAAAAAAAAAAAAGGTTGGTGCAAGTTCTGTTCTCTGCTTTATTTTTACTTCCAATTCACTCACTATTCCTAAAAAACAAAAAAAAAGTAAACGTTAACAAAGAATGAAATTTAACTATAATAATGATTTTCATTATTTTAATTTGCCCTCCAAAGCCCATATTAAAGAAAAATCTGGTTTATAAATTACTAATAAATTGAGATTTTCTACCTTTTCTTCTTTACGTCTGTCCTTCTTTTCTTCAGTATTTTCCATGGTCTCTTCTTCATCTTCAACAATTCCATCCCCTTGGTATTTGTCATGAGTCCATTTTGGACTGCTACCTGATTTCTTGAAGTTAAAGCGCCCTCTGCCACGTTGAAAAGTACCACGACCTCTTCCTCTTTTGGCCCAATAATCTACACCATCATCTCTGTCATCATGCTACAGAAAGTTAAAAACAACAATCAACGAAATATCTCTTTTCAAAGGGAGATGATTATTTTCCCAATCATACTATGGTATTAACTGGGTACGAGACTGGTAATGTTCTGTGAAACTAAAACACCAACAATTAAACTGAACTTTCAATAAGAGCATATTAATCACTTCTTATTGCACAGTAATCAAAGCAATCAGAGCTGTGCAAACAATTATTTGGCAGCCTTATATATTATTATTATCCAAAACGTTAAAAATTCTGACTTTTGTTTTTCCATTATTAATTTTAAGCTTAAATCAATGTGTTGTTATGTTGCATGGAATGAAATAAAATGAGATTTTCCCTACAAAATTGCCCCAGTCATAAAGGCATGATAGTCTTAACAAAACTGTCATTACAGTATCATTAGTACCTGATAAAATAAAATAGGTGGTACTTGAATTATACTCCAGATGTAGAGCAGATTCTTACATCTTAATGGAGATTTATTCTTAAGCAATGTATATTACACACATCAGTCCTCTAGGCAGGAAAGGTTAGCATGTCAAAACATGATGGCATGCTCTCTGGATTAATACCTAAACTCTCCATCAACCCAGAACTATTACGATTACTACATTTTAGACCTTAATTTTACACAACTTCATCCAAATACAGATGTGTCCCCTAAGTTACAAATTGTTCATTAAGCAAAACAATCTGCCAATTTGTGAAGTGCTTGACTGTTGGATGACTATATACAAACGTTCTATACCTCAATAAAAAACTAAATGTAAAAGGTCTTCTGTTATAATAACCCTTCTGGTAGCGTAGTAGTTATGAATCGGACTGCAAACCTTAAGGTCAGCAGTCTGAATCTTCCAGCTGTTCATGGGAGAAAGATGAGGCTTTCTGCTCCCATAAATATTTATAGCCTCAGAAACCCTGTACAGGGTCGCTATAAGTTGGAACCGACTCCACGGCACATACAACAACAACAACAAATCTTAAATTTAAACTCTTAAGATTATAACCCACAAAATGGAAAAGGTAAATAACACTTTTACAAGACAATGTACAAATGGAGTATCTTGTAACTTGGGAGTACCAGTGTTCAACTGAACAAAAGCCACTAAAACTTTTTTTCAATTATTATGTGATGAGTACCCCTTTTAAAAAACACATTAGCTTTATGTATATTCATTGAATACAGATAGCCCTCCTTAACTTGAAAGAGCTCGATTACATAGTCAGTAGACTTATATGACAGAGCATTTAATAATCTTTAATAATCTATTTTTACTAAACCAATTAATAGATTGTGAGCTAGAAGTGATTTCATCAGACTAAGAAAGAAGTTAGGAATTATCAAGTCTACCTTTCAATACGGCAGAAAGAGTTCTTTACCAACCCAATAAAAACTAGTCTATCACTCAGAATGATGTCCTTACACAGTTACAATGTTTTCATACTGCCCTATGGCATAAGAGCTTATCATAGTTACCAAATCTTAAAAGTTTACTTTTAATGTGTATTCGTAGATCTATGGGAACAGCCAACAGGTTTTGTAGAACAAGACAAGGGTTTAAATCATAACTTCTGGGCACTTTAACATGTATTTACTCATATAATCCTCACAACAATCATGTGTAATGGATATTGTTACTGCTGCCATTTTACAAAGTCAATGAGGCACAGAAAACTTGTCCAAGGCCACAGAGACAGTCCTCCCAAATGCCTCACCCTCTATGACCAGCACACAGACAAATGTCCCAGATACCCTCGTAGCAGTTGACTACTACACACCAGTTGATTAAGCAGATGTAGGAATAGCAAGTAAAACTAGAGCTAAACAGCAATTACTTTTACATATCTCAACACCTTAAACTGGCCAGAGAAAACTGCAGATAAGAGAGCACATGCATTTTTCAGAGAGGGTACTCCTTAGCAGCTACCTAATGAGAGTTTTGATACTGAATGTGCTAACTCTTAATCCTCAAATTTTTACATTCAGTATTTGTTGCTGTTGCTGTTAAGTGTCATTGAGTAGGTTCCAACTCATTGCAACCCTGTATAGAGTTCTGGATGCTTAAAATCTTCAAGTGAGCAGAAAACGTCTTCTTTGTGCAGAGCTGCTGGCAGGCTCAAACCGCAGACCTTGTGGGCCACAACCCAGTGAGTATCATATGGAGCCACTGCGCAGTCCTCCAAGATCTGAGACTCACTAAAATAAACAACTACTAATTACATTTCACAGATAATAAAAAGCCAGTTGTTGTGATGTTAAGTGCCATTGAGTCGGTATCGACTCATAACACAACAGAACGAAACACTACCTCATCCTGGGCTAACTTCACAATCATTGCCATGCTTCGGCCCATTAAGGCTGCCAGCCACTTTGCCAATCCATCTCACTGGGGGGTCTTCCTCTTTTTTACTCTGACCCTCCACTTTAGGAAACATGATATCCTTTTTCCAGCAACTGGTCCCTCCTGACAATAGGTCCTAAGTGTGAGACAAAGTCTGGCCATCCTGGCCTCCAAGGAGCACTCTGGCTCTTCCAACACAGATCTATTGGTTCTTTTGGCAGCCCATGGTATTTTCTCCTCCAACACCATAACTCAAAAGCATCAATTTTTCTAGGGTCTTCCTTATTCACTGTCATGCATGCACATGAGGTTACTGAAAATACCATGGCTTGGGTCAGAGGCACACCTTAAGAGTTCAAGCTGCCATCTTTGCTCTTCAACACTTTAAGAAGGTCTTGTGCAACAGATATGCCTAATGCAATCACATCATTTGATTTCGTGGCTGCTGCTTCCATGAGTGTTGACGGTTGATGAAGAAAAATGAAGTTTCACTTTGACAACTTCAATCTTTTCTCCATTTATACGGATGTTGTTCATTGGTCCAGTGGTGAGGATTTTGTTTTCTTTACATTGAGATACAATCTATACCGAAGACTGTGCTCTTTGATCTTCATCAGTATTTTAAGTACTCTTCACTTTTAGCAAGCAAGGTTGTATCATCTGCATATCTCAGGTTAGTTAAGTCTTCCTACAACTCTCATGCCACGTTATTCTTCATATAACTCAGCTTCTTAGATTATGTGCTAAGCATACAGGCTGAATAAATATGATGAAAGAATACAACCCTGTCACACATCTTCCTAATTTTAAACCACTCAGTGGTCCCGTGTTCTGTTTGAACAACTGCCTCTTGGTCTATGTACAGGTTCCTCATGAGCACAATTTAAGTGTCCCAGAATACACATACTTTGCAATGTTGTCCATAGCTTGTCATTATCCACACAATCAAAAGCCTTTGCAGAGTCAATAAAGCACAGGTAAACATCATTCTGGTAGTCTCTGCTTCCAGCCAGGATTCATCTGATGTCAGCAATGATATCCCTTGTGCCACATTCTCTTCTGTATCCGGCTTGAACCTCTAGAAGTTCTCAATGTATGCTTGCAGCCATTTTTGTATTACCTTTAGTAAAACTTTACTTATGCGGGATATCAAAGATATTGTTTGATGATTTCCCCATTCCATTGGATCACCTCTCGTTGGAATGGGTACAAATATGGATTTCTTCTAATCAGTTGGCAGATAGATAGTTGTGTTTCAAATTTCTTGGTATAAATGAGTGAGTGCCTCCACTGCCGCCTCACTTTGTTGAAAGATTTTAATTTGTATTCCATCAATTCCTGGTGCCTTGTTCTTTGCAAATTCCTTCAATGTACCTTGGACTTCTTCCTTCAGTAGCATTGGCTCTTGATCATATGCTACCTCTTGCAACAGTTAAACATCAACCATTTCCTTCTGGCACAGTAACTCAATGTATTCCTTCCATCTTCTTTTGATGCTTTCTGCATCATTCAATAATGCCCCAGAGAATCCTTCAGTAATGAAAGCCAAAGCTTGAATTTTTTCGTCACTTCCCTCAGCTGCAGAAATGCTTCTGTGTTCTTCGCTTTTAGTTTTCTAACTCCAGATCTTTGAACATTTCCTTGTAATATTTGACTTTGTTTTCTCAAAACGACCTTTGAAATTTTCTATTCAGCTCTTGTACCTCCCTCCTCCTTTCTTCCATTGGCTTTAGCATCTCAAAACTGGAGAGCAACTTTCAGTGTCTCTTCTGACATCCATTTTGATGTTTTCCTTCTATCTGGTCTTATTAATGACATTCTGCTTTCTTCATATATGATGTTCTTGATGTCATCCCCCGCTCTCCTCGTCTTCCATCTTTAGCGTTTAATGTATCCAATCTGTTCTTCAGATGATATCTAAATTCAGGGCGGGATATATTCAAGGTCATATTTTGGCTTTCGTGGACTTGTTTTCATTTTCTTCAGCTTCAGTCTGAATTTGTATTTGAGTAATTGATGGTCTGTTCCATAATCTGGCCCTGGCCTTGTTTTGGCTGATATGGAGCTTTTTTTCCACCTTCTCTTTCCAGAGATGTAGTCACTTTGATTAACTACATAGCAATCCCATCCATAGTATCCTGTATAGGGTTTCCGAGGAGCAACTGGTAAGCTTGTATCGCTGACCATTAAGTTCAAACCAACTTTGCAGTCCAGCATATTACCTCACAGCACCACACCAGAACACCTGACAAAAGGCCAGAGAAGTTAGGTATTTACTCACAGCCAAAACTGTATCAGTAAAGAAGTCCGTACGAGAACAAAGATCTTCTGAATCTTCTTTTTACTTCTTCATAATGCCCACTTCATTACCCTCCCACTTGCTCCAATTTCTCAGACTCCTCTGTAACATTTCAGATTTTAAATTAAGCTAATATCAACATACTTCCTGGAGTACTTATTACTGAAAACATTATTCTGTCTTTGTGGAAATACAAAGCTTGAAATGGGACATTATAGAAAAGAATAAAATGCTACTTTTTGTAGTAAGTACTGAAGAAAGGATGTTACAGTGTTTAAGAATTCATATCTACAAACTTTCTGAAGCCCTCGTGCATAACTTGGGGCAAACCACTCAAGCTCTGTGTCTTTATTCATGCATAAAAAATGGAATAAAATCCCCAACTCAGAAAGATTTTATAAACATTAAGTCAATACATATAATAACACTCAGCATGGTACCTTATAACATGTACTCAATAAATGTTACCTATTAAACAATGTCTATCATTGCAAATTTTCCATGCTAGCTTTATTCTAAAAGAACCTAGGGAAGGGTCTACAGTTTTCAACTTCATTTTCTCAAAATGATATTTGTGTATATTTCTATGTATTAATGTGAACAAGGTTTTGATAAAGACTATAGACTATATGTTGTTGTTGTTAAGTAATGTGGAATCGGTTCCGACTCATAAGGACCCTGAACAGGGTTTCCGAGACTGTAAATCTTTACAGGAATAGAAATCCTCATCTTTCTCCTGCAGAACAGCTGGTAGTTTCGAACTGCCGAATTTGAGGTTAGCAGCCCGATTCGTAACCACTACAATACTAGGGCTCCTTATAGACTGTATTGAGAGCAGCAAAATTTTTTAGTACAAAACAGCAATACAGAAAATAATGTTACTGTCTACTCATTTATCAGCCTCCTGGTGAGGTGCTTTAAGATCAGCACTGGACTGCGAACCACGAGATTGGTGGTTCAAAACCACCAGCTGATCATCAAAAACCCTATGCAGGGTCGCTATTATTCAGACCGACTCAATGGCATTTAACAATTGATTTATTAAATTGTGACTAGATTCTTAAAAGGAGTCCTGGTGTGGTGCTGTGGGCTAGTGCACTGGACTGCAAAGTCATTTGAACCACAAGGTATGTGGTTCAAGCTCACCAGCCGTTCCTTGGAAACCCTCTACAGGATCCTCTACAGGATCCCTGTGGGTCAGAAACAACTCGACAGCACTCGACAAAACAGTACTAACAACAACTTAACAGATTCTTAACATGCATTTTTTGTGGCTGAAAAATATAAACTACTGATGACAGCAATCTTAAATGAGTACATCCCAATTTAAAGCAGAAATTATGATACAAATTCCGAAATGTTATATATAAAAAAATAAAAGATCTGGCCTTAATTAATATTTGTACACATGTAGTGAACAATTCGGAGCGTGGTGCTATAAGGTAAACACTGGTTACTGGTTCAAACCCTCCAGCCACACCTCAGAAACCCTCTACAGTGTCACTATGAGTGGGAATCAACTCAACAACATTTAACAAGTGAGCAATTCATTGCTACCTATGTGCTCACCTTTCGTAACTTTTGACCTTTCACACTTGGTCTGCAGGCTTGACAATTTTACCATCACCTACACCTTGTCCCACTTTATGGTTTTAACTGCGTCCCTAGCATGATGGCTCTAAGAGGTTTTCCCTCTCTAGATATACTTTAAATAAACTGTCCATTAGAGTTCTCCCGCTTGATTTTGCTTAGGTACTTTATATTCTCATCGGAAACCTCCATATTCCCTAGCTCAGATAAATCTTTCCCTCTGGCTACCAACTAAGGAGTTCTGGTAGCATATTGGTTATGAGTTAGGCTGCTAACCTGAAGTTCAGCAGTTCAAAACTACCCGACATCCCGTGGGAGAAAGATGAGGCCTTCTAACCCCGTAAACACAGTCTCAGAAACCCTATGCAGGGTTCCTATGAGTTGCAACCGATTCTACAGCACAGCACTCCCAATTAGTTGATCCCTAAATAAATCATCATAAATGCTACTTTATCTTTTCATAAAATCCAGTTCAGTCACTCATTATCTCTCAAATCTCATGTTCTCTACTTAAAACCCAAATAAAGTTCATGGTCTTTCACAACCAGGCTCCTCCATGTCTTTTTAGCCTTTGCTTAATTTCCCTAAATTTACACAAGCCATCTAGCAATCTAAGAACTACCAAAGTTCTCTCTATACCAGCTTGATTCACTCCTGCTGATACGAGAGATAGTATTTTAAGCTCAAAAGTCAAAGCCAAATTCCTCTAGGAAACCTTTCTTAACCACTCACTCCTCTCATTTGCAAAGCCACCATTATGTATTTATAATGCTTTTACCCCAAACTAGTAAGTGAAGAATTTTAAATCATTTCATATTTGTCTTTCCATCTTGAGTACATTAGTACCTAACAAATAACAGTTTCTTATTAATCTAATTTTCCAGGTTGTCAACTCAAGGGACTCAAACAAGTATTAAATTTCTCCAAGAGAAACATACAGTGAACAAACACCATTCATACTACAATTTAAGAATTTTTTTTTCAGACTTTTTTGTCATTAAATTTAACAACCAAATAAAGAGGCAACCATAAACTAACTTTTGAGAAAGTATGTGGCCGATTTTCCAAGCAAGAGAGATGTACTTTTCTAATGAACTTACGGAGTCCTGGTATGGCACTGTAGGATAAGCATTAGACCAAAACGTCAGTTTAGTTCAAACCCACCAGCCACTCCTCAGAAACCCTATATACAGGTCAGTGTGAGTCGAGATCAGATCAACTCAACAGTACCTAACAACATATTGCCCATTTTCCAAATGAGAGAGGTATCCTTCTAATTAATTTAGCACATATGCCATGCAAATTTAGATTTATTCAACTATAATTCATGAAAAGCTGAAAACACAATTCTGTAAATCCAGTAACATTTTCTTCCTTGCTTCCACCTAACAGTGTGTCTGAAACATGACTTCGCTAAATAGCTAAGACATAAATGAATGTTTCTGGTAATGGTGGTGGATCTTTAGTCTGCCTTGATAATACATGACCCTCTTCCCCATGCCAACTGAAAAACACTTCAACCCTTGACTACGTGACCCACCACTTCTAAGCTTCATTCCTTGGAAAACTACTTCACAGGGGAAAGTGTCTACATCACAAGAAAGTATACCTAGTAACTTTTCCAGTAAGTGATTTTTCATCTTCCTTCCACTCCAATGAAAGTTGCCAAGCTCCCCAAGATCCTTAATTACAAGTATTGTGAAAGGAATTTCCGTTTTTTTATTTAAACAAAGCGCTATAATGATGGAAGGTAAATCTTAATCACTGTCACTGTCTTATAGACAGTTATAAAACAAGCATAAAAGCACACCTATTATAATCTACAACTACAATAGAATTTCTCTGAATATCAGGTAGATTCTGATTAGCCTACATGTGATAAAACAGAGCTAAAGGGGACCAACATTTTTAAAACTACAAATCACCTGGGTGATGAAATTTTTAAAAAGGTTTTCTAAATTATGGTGAAATCTTCTCACAGTGGTGGATATCTGTACTCAATGGATTCATCCAGTATGCTTTTTAAATTAATGCAAACCAAATAAACAGATTTCTAACACCCACCAAGAAGTACTTCTTGCTCTTTGGGGTATATTCTGGATCCCATTCCTCTTCCTTCGGTCTCTTTTGAAAAGTAGTATTTGAGTTGTTTGGACCAGTATTTGTCCCAGCAAAAACTCCTCTGGCTCTTCCTCTGCCTCTAATTCGAAACTGATTAACATTAACAAAGCTGTTTAGTAATGCAATCAAAAGGTTTTTAGTTACATGCAAACTATAATTTTACTGCAGTAACAAAACACATATTCCCTACTGTCTTCCCTAAGTTAATTTCATAGTCAGCAAGTATGGTAAAGGATGGCAATTTCATACCATATGCAAAAAATTTCTGCCTACTAGGCTTTCTACTCCCGTAAAGATTTACACCCTCGGAGACCCGGTACAGGGTCGCTATGGGTCAGAACCGACTCGACGGCACTTAACAACAACTGAAAGTTGTATAGGTAAAAAAAAAAAATGCACTCAAGATTTTAGAATGCTAATTTTCATGGCCTCAACTAATAATTTTAAATCATCAAGTTCTCCCCTTTATTAACCAAACCAAGAGTTATCTATTATTTAACTCCTCTGAATTACCAAAGGAGCCTTAAGTTTTCAACCATACCTATCAACATAAAAAGCAAACATCTTCTCTTTCCCAAGTTACCTAATTAACGGACTATATATCAATCCCCTTTAGACATATTATCCGTAGGGATCAGTCCCTAGAAAAGGACACCATGCTTAGTAGATGGACATCATGCAAAGTAGAGGGTCAGTGAAAAACAGGAAGACTACCCCGCTCCCCCCCTCCCCCAACAAGATGGACTGGTACAGTGGCTTCAACAATGGGCTCAAACATGACAATTGTGAGGATGGCCAAAGACTAGACAGTTTCATTCTGTTGTACATAAGGTTGATATGAACTGATACCAACCTGATAGCACCTAACAAAAGGATCCCTGGTATGGCGCTATAAGACACATGCACTAGAATGGTTAACTACAAGGTCGAAAGTTCAAATCTACCAGTCACTTTCAGAAAACCTATAGGGTCACTGTGAGTCAGAACCGACTTGACAGCACACAACAACAACATCCATTCCCCAAAACAGGAATTTTATGTAGAAATAAAATAAGCAAGAAAATATAAACTATGAAGCCCTTATTAATAACAGGTATGTGTCGCTTAATGCCTTCCCAGACAATGTCCAATTGCTTATACATCTGTGGTCCCATAAAGGTTTTTTTTTTTTAAAAGAGAAATCAGCTTTATTTCCCACTAATGATTTCTTAATGACCTCAAAACCAAGCACTGAACCATGGGGTGAGATATAGGCAGCTAAGGAACAGGACATGGCTCTGGTTACAGGCAGACCAGCAGATGGGGCTGGGCTAGTCTGACTCCTGCCTTCCTCTCTTCCTCTCACTGCACTCCCATAGCCTCTAAGTCACCACTGCTGCTGATGCTAGCTCCTCTCTGGCTCTGCCAGCAGTTCTACCAGCTGTGTAGCAACATCAGCAGCGGCACCAATGTCTACAAGGTCAACCAGAAACAGGCCCTTTTAAGGTTTCAATATGGTGTTTGTATAACTTCCAAATCACATAACATCTTATTTGTCAGAATGTATTGTGGACATTAAGTGATACATACCTGTATAACAAGTTTAAGGAAACAAGTGGATAATGTACATACTATGTAGAATAAAATGAAAATACTTAAAAGTCTATGATTGATACCCACATATAAACAAGGACCTGAGAAATCAAATAGGCAAAAATGAAAATAGTTATAATACAGGAGACTGTAACATAAGTTTTTTTTGTTTAAAAATCTTTTCAAAAATTAAGTGACTAAATATATTAATTTAATCCACTGAAACACCTTTTCTTGACTATTCAATGGAGGTTTTAAAAACAAGTTATTAATCCCAAAATCAAAAAAAGTGTCTGGTTTACAGAGATGTTTCCAGATCTCAAAATGGCAATTCCTTATGAAGGTAATATTTCAAGTATCACCTCCTTAAAAAAAAATTAATAGTCACTTTAATACGAGTACTGACTCACATAACAGACACTCTAAATGGTATATTCACTTTTCCTTATGTACAATGCCACAAGGTAAAGTGGTAAGAAGAGACCAAAGACAATTTCCGAACTTACAAAGGTTCCTCGTGGTCGGCTAACTCCTGCAAAGCCCGAGTATTCTTTCAGCTCATGGTGAGTTTTAAATTCTTCTTCTCTTTCTTTCTTACTCTCCTTTTCTTCTCGAGAACTGGGAGAAGAAGGTGATGCCGAAGAAGATGAAGATCGAGAATGATCTTGCTCTCTACTTTTATGTTTACTGCAAAATAAATAAAAGAGAATTTAAAAAAACCATGTGATATTTAAAAAAACCATAAGACCCTGTTGAATCTTACAACAAAAGGGACATTTTTTTTTTAAGTAAACAAAATACAAAACAAACTATCCCCTATTAAAAATCATTGCATAAGTAAAATAACTGGGTGTTAAACTTTTGACAGTCTGTTTCCATTCTTCAATAACTGTTTTATATCATTACTGAAGAATATAGTATGGCCTGCCAGTAAGAAAACTAGCAGTCTATAAACTACAAGAATAAGGTTCAGTTCTTCAATATTTATAAGTTTAGATATTATTTAATTTGTTGTTTTAAAGAAAGGGAAAGAAGAATAGGAAACAGTAAGAATGTTCTCAAGGCCAAGTGCAAAATGACTGTGCAGTTTTTGTACACCCTGGGCGAGAACAGCTGGTATGGTTTGGCCGTAACACCGTTATAGAAATAAAATGCGTATGACATTACAAATACCAGTCATAAACAAACAACAAGTGAAATCCACCATTTACCTAATGAATAGCAAGAAGAGTAATTATCTACAATATTTGTATTCCTACTATTTATTTCGCTCTACGATGATCAAATTTACATGATTCTAACACAACACCCAAAAAGATCATACCTGCAGTAACTCTTACCACTGCTAACAGTATCCATGGAAACATTACTTCGAAAGACTAACACACATTGCTATTTCAGACAAACTACTCCTTCCTCCCCCCATCTCTCATGTTAAACCACTAGGTATGTTTAAAATTCTTGTACTCTGGGTGTTATGAGTTGAAAAAGTGCGGAATCAAGCATAACGAACCAAAGTTCTTACACAAACTGTTTCTAGAAATGCACTGCATTGAAGTCCAACCTCCTGATGTAGCCTGGATAATAGGACACATTAATTTGTCATTTTTTTTTTCAGTGTTAGCTTGCTATTCCAAAGTTTTTGTCCTCATCCACCATTAGCCGTGTAAAAGACAAATACATTTTTGCTGTAAAACAAATAATTTTAATTGTTTAAATTTAAACATTCGATTACACAGTCAAAATTGAAAGCAATTAAGCTGACAATTATTAAAGGCTAATTAGAAGCTAAAACCTAACTCAGACAGTTGTAACAATTACCTGTCATCTTTGTAAGGTTTGTATTCCTTGTAATCTTTTGGAGTTTTCTCCTGCTTTCTTGATCCACTGGATTCCCTGGAGCCCTTGGAATCCCCTCGTTCTTTACTTCTTTCTTTTCTACGACGGTCAATGTCATGCCGAAGATCAGCAGAATCACACCTTAGTTTTTTATCTCCCTATAAAAGACAGATGCAAAACACAGATTTCAGGAGAGAAGTAGAAAAAGCACACAGTCAAATTTTATGCCAGTTTCTAAACTGATATTTTAATATCAGAAAAGAATGGATCACAATAGACTATTTCTGTAAGTTTTGTTAAAATATGTACTTGAGTTTTTAACTAAACATCTGTGTAATACAAGTAAGACTGGGAAAATTATATAAGCTATCTTGAGAATTTTATAAGGTTTTGTTCACAATAATCCGCAACCATTCTTTTACAGTTAATTACAAATAAATTTGCATCCCAATAATCCTCATTAATCATCATCCCCTCCTCCTTCCAAAATACTATTTTTTAAATTTTAAATTATAAATAGCTGGACAATGGTAGAGGTTATAATCTGAAGTTGAGGTACAATCTTTCTATTAATAAGGGCCCTAAAGTAACAATGATTCTCATTACTTAAACTTCATGATTATCAATCTCTTTCCAAATAAATTGAACAACCCAACAAGACACTTCAAAAGTAAGTACTCTGTAATTTCCATAACATGCAAGTGGAATATAATTCATGAAACCAATTAAGTTTGAATAGGGATAGAAACAAAGCCAGAAAGGTATTATTCCCAATCCTGTACTCAGTATCTTGGGCCATATACTGCCCTTTCTCAAGTCAGGTATTGCAACGCATATTAGTTTAACTGGGTCACAATTCACCTCCTTCTTGTTCCATTGCTTTTTCAAATACTATATAATTTAGGAAGATGGAAAGAGGCATCTAGGAATGAAGAGAAATTACACATCAGTAAGATGCTAAGCAATGTGGACATCCTTGCTAGTATCAACAGTAAGAAGCATTTACTCTGGGAAGTGTAGGTGTAATATTCATAAGCATCCAAGATCTGAAAAAAATATATATTCAAATGATATCAATGCATCTATTTTCCTCCCAGAGTAATCAAGGAAAAAAAAAATCTAATCAAGAGCAAAAAACTTCCTAGTCACATAGTATTACCAAGCCCACACTAACAAGATTTAAGAGAAAATATTTTACAAAAGGCAAACTATATATAGATTAATTATATATTAACACATACATCGTAATCATTCAGACAGAAAGATAAATTTGGTAAAAACAAGGTCATAATATTCTCTCATTCAATTATCAGTTATCACTATCCTCTCTCCTCCAGCTGAAAATATGGTCTGAATAGCAAGAGGAGGAGCAAGAAACTGTTTTTAAGCACAAGGACAGACTAAATTTTGGAAGAAACAAAAATTAATCAACATTCAATCCTAAATAATAAAAGAAAAGGCGGAAAATAAAGAGCATTTATCTCAATGCATTTCAAGTATCAGTATGACCATGCAAAGAAACCATCTTCTTTGTATATGTCCATACTAATAGTATGCTTTGTTAAACAACTTATGTATTAGTTAACAGCTTTCTTATTTAGAAAAATGTCAATTGTTTTACGTAACATTCCAGTAACTAAACACCTGCGCAAAACAAGTTTTATTCTCTTCGTTCTAAAAAGAAAATCAAGATTCAAAATCTTAATTATTTCCCCAATCATATAAAAAGTATTACGTGATGTCTAGAGTTCTGGTATGGCACTGTACGATAAGTACTGGACCACAAGGTCAGTTTGAACTTCAAGGATGGTGGTTCAAACTCACCAGCCATCCCTTGGAAACCCTATTTAGGGTCATCAGGAGTCAGAGCTGACTCAACAGCACACAACCAACCACCAAGTGATGTCTAGAATAGTAACCAAGCAGTTCTTCCCAGTCTTCTCGTCTTTATAATGCAACAGACAGTTGCTCCCTTTCAATCTTCTTCCTTCCATAATAGTCTACCTAGAAAATCTCTTACACTTACTCCTCACTCATCAACAATCTTGTTACTCAACATTACACACCTGCAGTAGTAAAAAGCTCTATGCTGTACTTGCAATGAACTGAGGTGTGTGACCAGTTAACACTGGCTGTGATGGTTAAGATTTATGTGTCAACTTGACCTGACCATGATTCTTAGCAGTTTGGCAGTTATAATGATGTGCTCGTCCTTTAATTTTTATGATTGGATGTGGTCATACTGTATTTTCACCTAACACTAATTTTCACTTGACCTGGGCTTTGGACTCTAAACCATGTCACTAAGTGAGGAGTGGGTATTTTTTAAATTAAATGAGTATATCAGACACCCCTTCTTCACACCAATGAATTGCATTCTCCCAAGCCCCTTTTCCCTCAACTTTGAGTCTCTATTCAAACATTTCTTCCCGTAATCCACACATATCCTCCAATGAAGGACAAAAAATTTACAAATGCTCATTTGTAAATCAGTCAAGACTACAAATGCCCAGTACCATGGGGATTATTTGTTATCTCTGTGAAAAATCTAAAATTACTAATTTTAACACACTTCAAATCAATTAGGATTTATTCTAGCTTGTCCTACTGCCGCTCAAATTTTATAGGAACCCCAATATAATTTACATCCTTGCTTTGTCTACCTATTGGTTCTTAACCCTTTCATTAAGACTGAGTTCTTCATTTCACTAGCATTTTCAAAAAACACTTAGTTTAACTTAGATAATAAGTGAAGTGTTAATTTCTTCTAGGAATTGTGCTTGTAGACTAATACACATATACACAAGAATATAAGGTATCTGTAGATAGTTCGATTTGTTAAACCTATCTATAATTGGTACATCATTAATCAAGCTGAACTTAACATGGATGGAAAAAAGTACACTCAAAACCATACCTTTGGGTTTTCTTCTTTAAAAACTCTCTCTTCCCCTGCTAAACGGGTATGCTTCCTCAGGGCACTTGGAGAGATGTCAATTCTCCTTAATGTAAAATAAAGTTATCTGTGGTCACATTGATTCTACTGGTTCTGAAAATTCTCATTATTATCATTATTTTTGTTAAAGAAGTATCTGTTGTAGTTGTTAAGTTCCTTCGAGTCAATTCCGACTCACAGGGACTCTGCATAGTTTCCAAGGAGCGGCTGGTGGATTTGAACTGCTGACCTTGCAGCTCAAACTGACCATGCAGTTTAGCGCATTAACCACAATGCCAGACCAGAACTCCAAAGAGATACTTGTTGTTGTTCAGTGCAGTTGAGTCGATAAGAGATACTAGAGGTAGTTATTTCCCATTCAATTGACTAATTAGCATATCAGAACAATCAGCCTAATTCTTAATAATCAATTAAGAAAAAAGGCATGTCAATTAAAAATGAAAATGCTTCAACCAGATAATTACTTATATCTATATATAAAATCTAGCTGTTGAAAATGGCAGAACTGTTTAATAATTTCAAAATATTTTACCATGCAGAATTCAATCAGCATGCCATTATAAAACATCCCCAGTAAGCATTTACGGCACTGGAATATTTGCTCTGAGATAGTCTTCAATATTTTTATTTACAGTGCACTTTCTTTTTTTGTGCCTTCCCTTGTTAGTATCAGGGGCAACTTTCCATATCTTTTTAATAAAAACCACATTACATTATCTATGTATCAATAACTGAGTTAGATACTTCATAATTAAGAGTTGTCATGAATACCCTGGAAAGTGGGCATTAGTATCTGTTTTATATGGAAAAACTAGTTTGTTTGTTTTTTTAAGTTGTCTGATATTAACATTCATTCATGTTCCTCTAACTAAACAGAACATTTGTCTTTTTCAAGCAAATCTTCCACAAGTAAACTTAAGCATAACTATAGACATTTATTTACCCCTTGACATCACCCCTACTCTAAAAAAGAATTGACAACTATCTAATTTCAGTGGAGAGACATGAATTTTTTTTTAAGTTCTAGCATCCAGTTTAAACCAAGTTACCTGAAAATTAAGAAGAAACAGAGATTATAAATTTTAAGTCTGGAAATATTTATTCAACACATAAATCAGGACTAAAACCAAGGGTCATTATTATCATGATTTGACAGCATACTTCAATATAATCTTATTCAAATAGAGTCTTCCTAGCAAAGCATTTCTATATGCCATTTCAACAGCATACATACCTGTGTATTTCAGGGCTCTTTTGCCGGGTACCATGCTCTTCAGTGGCTTTCTGATACGAAGTGAACCTGTCGTTTAGGGTCACTGCAGCAGATTTGAAGTACTGCTCTGTTGATTTAGGAGAAATACTGCTTAATTAGTTACCTTTACCTTAAAAGAAATTTTACTTGTGACAGGTGAAAAGGAAATAAAAATACTGAAGAAATCTAGTAGAAGAGAATCCATCAAGTGTAGCAAAGAACTCCTACCCACTTCAACTCCTTGTACTTCAACAGATAGTAACATACAGAGCCCACTGCAAAGATCCTCACAGACTGCTGTCAATACCACATACAACCCAAGCATAATTGGTTAATCCAGAGTATATAATCCATGTCACTGCACTTCCTCAATCAGAACAAAAAGGAACTCGAACATGTGGATTTCCTTACATCTTCTTGCCAATATGAGCCACTGAAGTTACTTCAAGTAGTAATTTACAAAAACCAAAAAAAAAATACCGAAATAGCTTTAAGTCTGGTATTAGTAAACTAATAAAATTATTTCAAAAATGCTGTTGATAAAATGGACTTAAGAACCTGAATACTTCCATTTCAAACAGAAAAATATTTCAAACAGAAAAATATTACTTTAGAGTCAGCTAGCATTCAATTATTCCAAAATATCTGGCATCTTGGCAAACCTGACAGCACATTTGATACTGTTGTCTTGCCCTTCAAGCAAAATTTTAAATTAGTAATATCAATACCAATTAGTTTTTAAACCAGTTCTAGAGATATGCTGTAAATGTAAAATAGAAAGACATATAAAGTCGTGAGCTATGAAATGTTACGCTATGAAGCAAACTATCTGCTTAACAGGTCAACATACATCTGTGTCAACTTACCGCCCAATATCCAGCAAATGTCTCATAACCAATCATTAAAACTTGTAATGGCCACTACAAGGGTAGTGCCTCAATCATAATTCCATGAAACCCAGGAATTTGAGCTAGCAACTCAGTTTTTATGCCATTTTTGCCAGGAAGACAGAAGATTCAACTTTGCCTGTATCTTTCAACAGCTATTTTACTTTGAAACATGGATTTTGCCATTTCAAAACATATTCCAGGACCTAGTTATAATGAAAAAGAAAACATCACTGGGCATTTTCAGCTCTATATAACTTAAGAGCTGTTCAGATTGGTTGCACAATATGAATAATGAAGCATAACTACAGTTCTTTAAAAAAAAGAAAAAAGAAAAAATCTTATCAAAATGTGACCTCAAAATTCAGCAACAAATCATAAAATATGGAGACAGGTCAAAAAAAGGTGAAAAAAGAAAAAATGTTAATGTTTTATATGTCATGTACCATAGTAATAGGGTCACAAACTGGTTTTCAAACCTAGTTACTAGTCAAATATAATCTCTCATGTTCCCATGTTTAAATATTTACAGCCAAAAATTTATTATCTAATCATTGTATTGGAGATATCAAATGTGTAAAGAATTGTTAGTGACAAGTTTCAACTTTTTATATGACTTTTAGTGTCAAAAAAAAAAAAAAAACTTGAAAGGAAAAAAAAGGTTATTTACGACCAAAGAGCCACTGAGGTTCCTGGAAAAGAACCTATTTCACAGTAAGCTGTTCTGTAACCTTTTGAACACAAAAGTAAAATAACTAAAGGCAAAGAAACTTTAAAAACTTGACCAATATAATTGCCTGAAATGTCATGCTGCAAAATCCTTGAAAATTATTAGTAACTTTGAATCTAGAATAAAATATAAAAATCATTACTTTAGTTGAAATGAACATGCTTATCTTTAGGCTCTGAAGAAATATGAAGGACTATTAAAAGTTAAATTACAGCCTAACCAATCACAGGTCATCTAATCTCTATTAAACATACTTTTTAATTTCTTGACCCTTTGCTCCCTCTAAAAACACCAATAATGTTTTTCTGGTTTATTGACCATTCAAAAAAAAAAAAAAAAATTAGTAAGCACAAAAACAAGTTGGGAGATTAATACTGGCATTCCATTAGTTTCAGGTTTCTTTTAAAGTTGAAAATTAAGTAATAGTAACAACACTGGCTCACTATGATTTAAATCTAGGCCAAGAATGTACTATCACAAGTCAGTGGCACGCAATAAAAGGTAAACTATAAGCATTCTGTACTTCAAATAAATTAGGTACACACTTCAAAATGACTTTTAGCATTAACAAATTCACATCATGCTGTATCATAATGTAGCCTTTAAAGGTGTGTTTAACTTGAGTGTTTCAGTCATCTTGTATAAAATACCTTTATGAGTCTCAATGTGAAGCCTCGTGTCTTTCAGGAAATTATTTTTTTCCAAAATGTAAATGGTCTTGATTGTACATCAGCTACTCCTTAGATGCATTAATTACTAAACACAATAATTACTTTTCCTAGTCTTTTTTAATTTTCAGGAGAAATTCCATTCACAATACTAAACGTACCTTTAACATGATGAACCAAGGACACAATATGTTGAATAAATGACTCTGAAGTGCTTTTGCTGGCCTGTGGCAACTTAATGTGGTCAAAGATGGATCGGAATTCTTGCTCCTTCTTGACAGAATGGACAAGTGTACTAGCAAGTAGTCTGTCTTTAGTCAAGGAGGCAGGTCTGAAACATCGATAACACACACACGCAAACAAAACATACTATTGGTTTCAACATTCAAATTAAGTATGTTCAAAGAATAACATAACTGGAATATTAACTAACAACCCACAAATTACAGGTATCAATGTGGAATTACCTGTTAGAATCATCAAGTGGAACAGGTGCCATTTTGAGTTTGACTTCAGGACGATGAGAATCACTGGCTATCATTTTGATCCTAAGTGGGCTCTCCTCTCTGAAGGTAGACTTTTCTCGGGCATCCAGATTCTTGTGTAGAGGGGGACTGTAATCAAAGAGGTCTTTGAGCTTTTCAGACTTTACCTGCTCAGGTGATTGAGCTTCTTTCTTTACTGTTATTCTCTCAGAACTTTTGTCGTCTTCCTTGTGCTTATCTTTTGTAGTGCTAGACCTTTCCACTATGTATCCAGTCTCTTTTAGTTTATAATTTTTTTCTTCTCTAAATCCATCACTTTCTCTATTGCCTTTTAGTGAAACTTTAGACTTGTACTTGGGTCCTTCCTCCTCAGCATTCCGGTGAGATGTAGTAGCAAAACTTTTACCCTGATCTGCAAGGACTGACTTTCTGAACTGTCTATAGTCCTCTGTCTCCTCTGTGTCATCCCCTTCTGAATCATTAAACTTTTGTTTTCCAGACTCTTTATCACTGAAGTAATCTAGAGCTTCCTGATCTTCCCATTCTCCCTCTGCCCTCCCTTTTTCTGATCCTTTCTCCTTGGGAGCCTCTTTATCCCTGGTATTACCCCTATCAAGCAGGAATACTCTAGACTCTTCATCTGTGAACCTGTGAATAATAAGCAAAGAAGAGGGTGGTAACTCTGGATTGCATTCACTGTAGATGACCTGCAAGTTTAATTTTGTTGTCCAACATCACAGGACCAGTAATAAAAAGAAAAAACTCCTACTGAAAAATGCTTTATCAGATCATACATTTAAAAATCATCACAAGCATACAGATAACACTTTGTACTGACTTAAAACCTAAAATATGCATTTTAGGCTTCCTGATTTAAAAAGCAAGCCATCCTCAAAAATATTTTTGTAACCATGGTTCTACACTAACAAACCAAAATTTCTACGGCCCTACAACTAATAACACAGCCCAAGTTTAATTTTTGAGGTTAAGAACAACAAGAAATTTAGTTATCTTATTAGAATTTTTCTCTTAATTTGCCTAGAATTTCACTTTAATACACACAGCATTTATACAATGGAAATCAATCTAATAAGAACTGTTAAGTATTTAATGCTATCTGATTCACATAGTAGTTCACATACACTTTGGATCAGAAAAATTATTTCTGACAATACTAAATAGAAATTATTAGTTCAATGATAAAAATAATTCTAGTTAGTACAGCATCAAGTTTGCTGCTTCCTCACTTACAAGTTAATCATAACTACATTAACAACCAATTTTCAGTAAATTTAATCAACATTTGAGATCTAAACGTAACATCTTTCTCATCATCAGGCAGAATTTATCAAAATTGATAGCTGGGCTATTTATAATACCACACAAATAATTAAAAAATATAAACGTATTATTCGTGTAAATCACATTCCGGAGGTATTGAGAAAACAAAATAAGCTCTCAATACTCTTTAACATTTTAAACACAAACTTGAATTACCACATAAAAAGGGGTCATGAGCAAAATCCACTAATTAAATGAGTATCAAAATCAAACTTACAAACTTATAAATTTAAAATAAAATTAAATTAGCAAAGAGATTAATATAATCTGAACTCTCTACTTTAGCTCTTACCTTTTTAAAAACTTTCCGCTCTTTGTAGTTTCCTGATCTCCACTCTCAGGATAAAATGAGGAACGTCCCCTAGGCTCATCTCTTGGAGCATTCTGTGGTGTGATTGTCTTTGCAGGGCTTCTTCGAGAAGGGATGTGATGTATTGGACTATTTTGAGAAGGACTATATCGACTAGACCCATTTCCAACAGAACCAGACCCAGATCTTTCAGGACTGTGCTGAATGGAATGTGAATGCTGAGAAGGGGTGTTTTTTGCAGAGTGGACTGTACTAAGCATAGGGGCATCAGAGCAAGATGAACTCTGACTGGGTGGTGTGGCAATCGGTGAGGGACTATGGGGCGACCTGGGACTATTATCATAAGCTGAAAGACCAGGCCAAATATCACCAGATGTGGCTGACTTATTAAACTCATCAATAGATTCAGATGGATCATGTTCAAAAGTATCTTTCGGCTCCTCCTGTGATTTGCTTTTCAAAGGACTCTCTTCTTGGGGTTCCCCTTCAGATTTTTTGGTTTGTTTTTCCTGAGACCCTCGTCTTTTAGAGACAGGTGATTTGCTATATGGAGACGATGAACGAGATGATGATGATCTTGGAGACCTAGAGGATCTGTATGACCGGCGAGATCTGCTTCGGGATCTCTGAGAAGAAACAGATCTTCTTTTTGGACTTCTAGAACGTGACCGGCCTCGTCTAGGACTCCTGGAGTGTCTTCGATTCCAGACAGGTCTGTAACCGCCACGATGATATCTACCTCCTCCTCCTTGATAATATCCTCTACCCCTTCCTCTGTACCCATAAGGTCTTCTCATTCCTCTATTGTTTCTGTAATCTCGACGATAATCTCTAGAATAAATACGATCTCTACTACGAGATCTTGAATATGTCCTGGAACGAGACCTAGAACTAAAAATGAAATAAATATCAATGCAAGACAAATAAACGTCCATCCTACTATTCTAAACGCTTTTAGCTGAGTACAACATGAAGGTAAATTATAAAAGCTAAAAGCACAACAAAATACTCATTCAAACAAAAAAGTTATCATTTCCAATGGAAAAAAGTCTCCTTCAACAGTAAAACATACTGAAAGTAAAGGTCTTTAGGTGAAGGTATAATAGGGAGAGAAAAATTCAATCTAATAAAAGGACACATTATCAAACACAGTATACATATGCAGACACTATGTTATGTATGTGCATCTACTTGATGCACTAAGTTATGTTCATTTTAAAATTAAAAAAATTTACTCTATCACCAAGGCCATACTTTCCAACTATTGATCCTTCTTTGTTCCCAACCTTTGTATTCCAATCACCAGTAATGATCAATAAATCTTGATTGCATGTTTGATCAATTTCAGATTGAAGAAGTTGGTAGAATTCTTCTATTTCATCCTCACTAACTTTAGTGGTTGGTGTGTAAATTTGAATAATAGTGGTTATTAACTGGGCTTCTCTGTAGGTGCATGCATATTATCCTATCACAGACCGTGTTGTACCTTTTGACTGATCTGGGTATGTTCTTTTTGACGATGAATGCAACACCATTCCTCTTCAATTTTTCATTCCCAGCATAGTAAACCATGTGGTTGTCAGATTCAAAATGGCCAATACCATTCCATTTCAGCTCACTATTGCCTAAGATATCGATGTTTATGTGTTCCATTTCGTTTTTGACAACTTCCCATTTTCCCAGATTCATATTTCGTATGTTCCATGTTCCGATTTTCAATGGATGTTTACAGCTATTTCTCTTCATTTTGAGCTGCGCCCCACCAGCAAATGAAGGTCCCATGGACTCTTCTCCTATGAGGTTTATCATGGTCTACTCTACTTTGAGGAGGCAGCTCTTCCCCAGTCGCATTTTGAGTGCCTTCCAACTTGAAGGGCTCATTTTCCGGCACTGTATCTGACAATGTTTCTCTGCTATTCAAAAGGTTTTCATTGACTAAATATTCGGAAGTAGTTTGTCACTCTTTCTTCCTAGCCTGTCGTTGTCTGGAAACTCATCGGAAACTTGTCCACCATGGGTGACCCTGCTGGTATTTAAAAATAGTGGTAGCATAGCTTTCAGAATCATAACAACTCACAAGCCACAAGAGTACGACAGACAGACTAATGGTAGCCGTTTGGTGTTAAGTGGAAACTCTCTGGAAACGAAGGTCGATCTAAAAGTCCTGCACAATTTCACACCATGTATTAGCACAGTATAATAAAATGCAACTTGGGCAATTCCCAATTTCTCTAATTCTAAAATGAAGATAATAAATCCATTTCATAGGGTTCTTTGAGAATAATAAATTGTGGGATTAGCACTGTATCTGTACAGAGTTTGTTGTTGTTGTTAGGTACCGTGGAGTCGGTTCCGACTCATAGCAACCCTACACAGGGTTTCCGAAGCTGTAAATCTTTACGGGAGCAGACTGCCTCATCTTTCTCCCGTGGAACCGCTAGTAATTTTGAACTGCTGACCTTGCTGCTTGCAGCCCGATTTGTAACCACTACACTACCAGAGTAGGCACTCAGTAATTATTAACTAGTATGAGTATCATTGGGGTGGCCATGGGTCGGAAACAACTCGATGGCACATAACAACAACAACAATGAGTATCATTAAGACAATTATAAGCATGTTAATTCACCTGTATCTCTTCTTCCTAGAATGTGATCTTGATCGTGATCGAGAACTAGACTGTGATCTAGACTTTGATCTTGAAGAATGTGATCTAGAATTGGAGCGACCCATTTCTTTTCTCCTAGTCAAACGAAAGAGCAAAAGATGTTAAAAATCAAGCTGTATTTTCACCTGCATTGAGATACTGTATATTGAAGATACAATATAAGATTCCTGTTATTGCCCCACCTATGTGCCTCAAAGAAAATAGATGTGTCCAAAAAGGAAGTAGCTGCAGAAGCCAGAAAGAGCAGTATCAGACTGCAGTAACATTAGATGGTATTCCATGCCCAATACAAATGCCTACCTCTTCTGTGAAAAAGATAATACGGCACTCAACAACAACAACAACAGATAAGGAACCTGAAACATGTAAAATACAATGCCATTATTACTAAAGACAAATAAACCCACCAGACTGCCATAAATACTTTAAGATCCTGGCAATGGTACTAAATTGACTATACCCTATGTACAATACTGCCTCGAGTTTGATGGATAGTCTCCTAGTAGAATAAAGGCACTAAGTCTCTGAACAGCTGGAGCTCGATGCTCTTTACAATAATGTGGCTCTGCTCTCAGTAATAATAAATAAAAAAGAACTTATATGACAATGCCAAGTTCACCCTGTGGCTTTCTGGTAAAAAGATGAAAAGGAATAAAAGATAAAGATATCAGTTATCAGAACTATAAGAAAAAGAAAACTTGGACATCAGTGTTTGTTTCATCTTTTCTAAACATTTGGTATCTAATGCCAGAAGTAACCTCACTTGGTACAAAAATCATTAACAGTAGAGAAAAATTGATTTATAAGATTACACTCTACAAAATTAAATACAATATACGAGGAGGAGTCCCGGTGTGGTGCTGTGGGTTAATGTGCCAGCCTGCAAAGTCATTTGAACTGCAAGGTTGGTGGTTCAAGTTCACCAGCTGCTCCTCAGAAACACTATGAAGGGTCACATTGGGTCAGAACTGACTTGATGGCACATAACAACAAAAGCATACACAAGGCGGCTTCAAAAAGTTCGTGGAAAAGTGGAATGAAAAGATACCAGAATTTTCCCATGAGCTTTTAAAGCCCTCTCGTATATATAAATCACTGCATGCACATTCCAAATGTCATTATTTTTAAGACCTCCTTAGCCTCCCAAGTTTATTTTTACTAAATATTTCCTAACTTGTATAATTTTATCACTCCAAATATTTCCCTAAAATCTGACTTTATAAAATTCTGACAGGCTGTAATTCCCATATACTTAAAAACACTTTACCGCTCTAGACTTTATACTCAGTAACAATGTCTGCATCCTTCCCCCTCAAAGAACATAAATGATAAATTCTAATATTTCACATAAATATTTCAAAGTAAAACATAACTATCCTCTAATACACAAACTACCACCTTTGTCTTCTGCTCTTATTTCTTCTTCTCAATCCCAAGTAAGCAAGAAATACAAAAAGAGTAAAATATAGGCTCAGGGTTCTATAATGTGGGATAAGCTCTAAAACAAATATAAAGCAAATTTAGCATTAAGCATAGGGGAAGACCTGGTACCTGGCAGAACAAAAGGCAAATCTGGCATCGCAAACTCTGTTATAACTTTCAATAAAATTGGTAAAAATCATATTTTCAGTCTGAAACATAGGTAATCTGGACCAGTGGGAATGGGAATTGTGACACTACAGCAATTTGACTTCAAAATATTGTCCCATCACATTATTCTTATATTTACATTCAACATAATTTATATCAACAATGTGATTTTTTCTAACTCTGAGATATACGGATACCCTATAAGAAATAAACCAGGACTGCATATGATTTGAGATCTCAATAAAACTATTTGTCACAGAAATTCATAAGTGAAAGAAACTCAAACACCTTTGAGGTGCTAAACTATTCACATACATCTAAAATCTTTTTTCGTATCTTTTCAAAAATAATTTCTGGTAGGTGACTTAGGTATTTTCTAGGTTTTACAGTCCAGAACACCTTGGTTAGGTGGAGTAAAAGAATTAAGATGAACAGATCCTTATGATGCTAGGAAAAGAAACTCTTAAATTTGTGCCCTTAATCAAGTACTGCTTTGCACAGCATTAGTATTATATATGGCACCATTAATTATGCACTATTCATGGAGCACATCGTGAGGTACAGAGGCAAAACAGATTCTCATAAAGAATTGATGAATGTTATTTTGTAGAACCTGAATAATTTTTTGAAAGCAGGAAGTTTATTTTTTTAAATGGTTTGGCGGTTTCTTAATTTCTTTCTTTTTTTAAGCTGGACACACCTGAAATTTCAAAGAGAATGGTAAGAAAGCCTCAAAAGTGGTATCCGCCCTCTTACAAAAATATACCAACTTTGCTAACAAAAAGCAAAGACACTGCCATCAAGTTGATTCCCACTCACAGTGATCCTGTAGGACAGAGTAGAACTGTCCCATATTTTCCAGGGCTGTAAATCTTTACAGCAGCAGATGGTCAGATCGGTCTCCTGGTAAGCGCTTTAACCACTGCACCAGCAAGGCTCCCTATAGTTCTACTTCCTTAGTTAAATGACTTTACTAGATGTGTTTATAAAAGTGGAAGAAGTAGGCTCATTGTCTAGATGTGGATAGGTAGAGAATTTAATAAACTTTTTAAATGTGGCTTATTTCCTCTAAGTGACCAAAACAAAAGAGGGTTTCAAATCACATTTCTTTTAATCCCGTGGCTTAAATCACCCCATCAATAGCCACTTGTCCCCAAATAAGTCAAAATCTTACAAGAAAAATGAACACTATTCACCTTGAACTTTATGCTGGATCAAGCAGTCAAGAGATGTTTTTGCAATGCTGTGAAATTCTTCCTGGAAGCAATGTTCTGAGAAGTTAAACTCTAAATACCTAGCAAAGATAAAAAACGAGTTTAAGGTCAATTAAGTATCCACTGTCACAACACATAATATTGGGAACTGCATTAAATTCTAATAAAAGTATTTAAGGAAAGTGAAAACTGACTCAGTAGTTACTAACCGTAAAAATCATAATACAGCAGTATACCATGAAACTGACAGCAACAATATTTGAATTCTAATTTTAGCAATTTGGGCATTTGAGAAACAGCCGTTCTGTCAAAAAGTTACTAAGTGGATAAAGAATGTCATTTCCATATAACAAAACATAAGTAATCAGGAATAATTTTAAATTGATCTAAGGTGTGAAGGTTTATTTTACTATTCTGCCACTTACTCTCTCTTTGCATTTCCTTTCGTAGGCACATTTTCATCTAAAATTGATTTTTAACACTCACACAACAGTTACCTTAGTAACTCTAATTTGTGCTTAGAGCCTTGTGATATATACATTGAACAAGCAACAAATGAAGCAAATACTTATTGAAGACTAATACTACTCCTAAACTAATTTACCAGTACTGAGCAAATAAGCTTAAGTTTTTCAGTAACTATTAACTAGGTATCAATATCCAAGGCTCCTTGGTGCGTAATGGTTAAACCATTCTGCTAATCAAAAGGTCAGAGGATGGAATCCACCAGTTGCTCTGCGGGAAAAAGATGTGTCTAGTCTGCTTCTGTAAAGATTTATAGCCTTGGAAACTCTATGGGGCAGTTCTACTCTGTACTGTAGGGTCTCTAAGTTGGAACTGACTTGACAATATACAATTTTAACAGTGGAAACGTTAGTCTTGTGAATAATAGTCAGTGGTTTGATTATGTTGGTTAAAAAACACTACCAAAGAAATAGGAGACTGGTAAAAGACATTGCCAAGTCTTTTGGGGTTGTTATTTTTCTTTGCAAGGGGGTGGGGGTTCCCCAGTCAGAAAACACAAACTTAATAAATTCAGGACAGAAAGAGAGTAATGCAGTAATGGCACTGTGATCACAGAGGAGGGAATGAGACAAAGTAGAAGAGATAGAAAAAGTCAAAGTAAGGAGTCTGGTTTTTATTCTAACCATAATGGGAAATTGCTAAAGGTTTGATTAGAGACCATCTGATTTACATTTTAAGATGGCTGCTGTGTACAGAGTAGACAACTGAGGAGAAGAGATGAGCAAGGAAAACAAATTAGAAGGCTGAAGCTAAATACAAGAGGTTTGCCTGTTAGGTAATAGCAATGAAGATGCATTTTTATTTTTTGTTTTTTTTTTAAAAGAGAGAGAAAACCAGGATGTGATTTGAAAGTACAGTCAACAGAATTTGTCATAGACTGTTGAGGGTGTGAAAAAGAGGAGGGGGCGGGGGCAAAAGTTAAAGATACTGCCTAAATTCTAAGTTTTGTGCTCAAGCATCTGTCCACATAATGAAATCTGGAAGAAGGGGGTGAGAACAAGAGATGTTTGACCTTACAGGCTCTCTATGTTCAGATAGAATAAATGGTTAAGACCAGAACTTCACTATGGTCGCTCCTGATTCCAGCTCTTGTCTTTGCTCAATACAGTAAGTGCAGTGTCTAACGTAGATATAACGTAAATATAAAATTCAGAGATCATTTACTTACAGATTTCAGTTGTAACAGAGATATGGAATAAATTGTCTCAGGCAACTTTATCCAACTGTTTTACCAACCAGTAAGAATACCAAAACCACAGCCTGAGTCAATTCCAACTTGGAGACCCTATAAGACAGAGTATAACCGCCCCACAGTGCTTCCAAGTCTGAATTTTTTACAGAAGCAGAGCAGCAACCTTACAGTTGGCAGCTGAGTGTTCACAGTAAGGAATGGTTGGTTGGTTGTGTGCCATCAAGTTGGTTCCAACTCCCACAACCCTGCATAGGTTTCTGAGGCTGTAATGTAAGTCTTTATGAGAAGGAACTCTGGTAGCATAGCGGTTACGAATCGGGCTGCGAACTGCAAGGTCAGCAGTTCGAAAATACCAACTGTTCTGCAGGAGAAATAAGAGGCTTTCTGCTTCCAAAAGGATTTACAGCCTTGGAAACCCTGTACAGGGTCACTATAAGTCGGAACCGACTCCACGGCACATAACAACAACATAACAACAACAAATCTTTATAAGAGCAGATAACAACAACAAATCTTTATAAGAGCAGATAGCCTCATCCTTCTC